TGTATATGTATATATATATATATATGTATATATATATATATATAGCTCTCAACGTATATTGCCCTATAAATAGATGAATAAAATTGAAAGAATTTATATATGTATGTATATATTTATATATATGTATATGTATATATATATATATATGTATATATGTATATATGTGTATATATATATGTATATGTATATTATATTATATGTATATATTTTATATGTATCTATTATATATATGTATCTATATGTATATTATATACATATACATAATAAATACATATATACATATACATATATACATATATATACACATACATATATATATACATCCATATTTCTCAACTTTCGAATTTCTTGATGTTCCTCTGGTCTGTAACTTTAAAAAAAAAACCATGCCAAATGAGCATTATGCAATAGATGAATTCATTTCGTTACCATATGACTGTTTCTTGCTTGAATTTTAGATGTTTGAACTAATCAGTGGAGGTGACGGCAGACGAATATGGGTGTTTGACAACCATGCTGCCAAGGTGTCCATCAGTAACTTCTACACGTCACAGTTCATCCACGACGTTGATGGCGATGATGTGCAAGACATCTTAACGATTCATGGCGGCGATCCACTGAGGAAACCAGGTGAGTTACGGCAAGAAGAGAGTAATTTCAACGTGATACATTTTTTTTATAGTGTTACTCTATTATTGTAAAATTTCACTGGTTGGGAAAAATAACCAGGTTTCCATAAAATCGCTACACGCGATGTAGCAACAGAACGATTTTATGGAAAGCATGTTGCCTGCTAGCAACTATTTATAGATATACAGTACTTGTTTATATATTGTTTGATATAATTATGTTCATCATGTTCTATTATATTCTATCACAAAATAAATGCGCGCAGTACCCACAAGCGTTTAGCTCCTGCTTTTTTTACACCAACGTAGTTAAGACATTTATCTCATATCATTGTATTCATCCAGCTAGCGCCCCTCTCATTTTGATCGCACCCTATCACCCCACCCAATGCTAATAATAACACCAGATATGTCGCCGCTGGCTCATTTTACGACACCTCAAGTACATTGTGCTTACTATATTATGAATCTATTGTTTACCAACAATATACAAATATATTTACCAACAATATACAAATATATTTCTGATCAATGACGTGAAACAAGAGAAAAAGAAAGGTAGTTCATTAAGTTTAGGAAGATTTCTATTCGCCTCTTTAATAATTATATTTATCTCATTTTTTGATTTCATTGTTTCACCTCGCTAGCTTGTGTTATTTGGTCCAGGTTAGGAGGCACCTGATCCCAAGAAAGATCAAGCCTTAACGATACTAATCAGAGTTCATAAACACAGACCTCTAGTTGGTCGTGACGGTATAAGCCTATACTTCGGTTCGGATGCTAGCTTGGTTTTTATTGTTTTTTGTTTTGTTTTATTTTGTTTTTGTTCTTTTGTTTTTTTTACTTTTTAGTATGCTATTTTTCGTTGTCTTCCTACCTACAGTATTGTCGAGCTCATACAGACCCCGTTTGTTTGTAATTTGTGCTTTATAAATCCATCTATTATTATTATTATTATTATTATTATTATTATTATTAGTATTATTATTGTAACTTCTACTGCTGATAGTTTAAATAGATACAACTTATTCGACACAAATGATATTAGTTTTCAAAATCTTTTAAGTGTTTAAATTTTAGATTATGGCTAATCAAATTGTTTTGTAGGATAGAGAAGATTCCTACTTAACTACGAGCTACTATAATAGCACCGAACATACCATGGTATTTCTCTCCCAGGTGCAAATGTGAGTTATGCGGGCCGATTGATGTTATTCAGCGGAGCAACTGGGCATGTAATTACCTGGTCTATGGTTCCAGACGGGATGGAATCCTACTATTCACCGCAGGTATTGCTATTGGTACATTAATGTTCATGATATAATTCACTTGATGAAACTGACATAACTATCTATAACGAAAGCTAATACAGTTCACGTAATGTTAAGCTTTACAGAGCAAATAAATATACTATTACTTTTTTATTTTCGTATTATGATGTTCCCTATTGAAGCTTCGTTACTATTAATCTTATTGATTTTATCAAAAGTATCTGTTGATCGATCGTTTAATTGATTTGACGTTTTTGTCTCGTAGGTGTACTTCGACAGCCACGGAGAGAAGGTTGTACTGTTTGGAACTGGCGGAGAAACACATGGAGGCGCACTTTATGTGATCAAACTCAATGATTTCATTCGTGGTCATATGCAAATGGTAATTTGCATAGCGTCCAATTTCACCTACTAGTATCTATGAGAATATTATCTAGGCAATTATAATAATATTTTCGAGAAAAGGCGTGGCAGGTGGCCTGATAAGATTGATTTCAGCAAGAAACATTTAAAGATTCAATAACCTATTCAGGTTTGAGAAACCACTGTTTAAATTAGACTATAACGCAGTTTATTTAAGCTTCATTATAATGAAATGATTTTACAATCTGTCATTGGTTTGCCTTAATTGCTTAGTAAACTTTTTCTACAGGCAAGATGTTTATATCAAGATTCATATAAGGGAGTGATGACTCCCCCAGTGTTGCTGGACATAACACGTGACGGTGTGATCGATATTGTCATAGCAACCTTCAACTCTACAGTACTGGCTATAAACGGCGACAATTATGATATGCTATGGAACTTCTCAATGCCGATGTCGGAGACCTACGCAACCCCTGCTCCCGGCTTTTTCAATGATGACGATATTCCAGATTTTCTTGTAATATTTAATCACGGCCCAACCTACCCTGTCTACTATTACTCTGAGGTGAGTTGGTACCTGACAAGCATGATGCGTAGCCTGGATTCCATAACATTGCTACACCATATTGCGGACAGCTTTCGTCGACGCTTGTTGGTCGGTTGAGCCGCGGAGCCGTCCTTACTGCGTCGGGACAGCTATTTACAGAAAACACGTTAGCGGCAGAGTAGCAATTTTTTTGTAAACCGGGCACTCGATAGTGTTTTACTTTTTTTTTTCTCTTAAATTTGTAATAAATAAAAATAATAAATTTATTAATGCTCTTTTTTTGCAAACGTGTGTACAATATTATGTTTATGATTATTCCCTGCCTCTTTACCAATCAGGTTAGAGCATATTTCAGTATAAACAGAAGGTTTATTGTTAAAACTCTTGGTGGCATTTCTAACTCAATAGTTCATTTGTTTATTGTAGGTGACTGTGTTAGATGGAAGGACAGGTCAGCCTCTGCTGGAACCCTTCATTCGTCATTCTGGCAGCATTCAAAGCTCTCCACTTACCGTTAACGTCGAAGGAACTGCTCAAGACATGTTTCTTTACTTCGCCTCAGATTGCTTAAACCACGAGGGCAAGAGTACCAAATTCTCATTTACAAAAAGTAAATTATTAATTAGTGAAGAAAATCAAATGTTTTAATTATTCGATGAAAGAAAGAAAATGTTTAGTTTGATCGTATTAATCTAAAGTAAACACTTTCGATCTGCGATCTGTCTCCAACTGGGTCTAAGCATGGTCTATGTAATGCTTTTATAACCTCTATGTAAGCTTAATGTCATTGTGCGATGACATATTTTCATTACACAGTTCATCTTGATTCAGTTAGAAAGCAATTGCTTGAAATATTTTGGAAACGTTTAATCATTGAAACATTCTATGTCGTTGCAGGTCAGTCTTGAGTAAGCTATTCAAATATTGAATTTCATTTTTTACGTGTATTCCTGAACTCAAACTGTATTATTATTATGTTGTCGACCTTGTAATACAGGTTTATGAATATTTTAGATGGCTTTTTAAATATTCAATATTTTTCTTACTCCACTTAGCTACATTCCAGTCTTCCAAAAGCAGAGCTGATTTGTGTATGGTGCGTTTTAACACGAGTTCATTTTCACGTCTTTATGCAATGAGTTCCATAACTGGCAGTCCTGGTGCTATCATTTATGATTCTCGTAAGTACAATACTACTATTTGCGCCAACTAACCGGGAACTAGAGTACAAATAAGTTGCCATACTCCGATATTAAACACTTGGCGCCCTCCATAGCTTTCTACAGAACGTTCCAGTAATTGTGTTTTTACGTGTTTTTGATATTTCAGTTAGTCATACTTCCGAAGAATACATGCATAGTGTGAACACAAGTCTATTAGCAAAGGCGTTTCTAGAAAAGTATCCCGAGACTGCGCAGTACGTCATAGATAGACAGGTAACGTCATGTAACAAGCAACATAAAGGCTGTACTTCATATATTGATATTTTGTTGAAGAATACATGCATTTAAACACAACGTATATTAGCAAACAAGATCGGCTTATATTTCAACTACACATATAACATATAAACTACAAATATATGTATAACTATTTTCTATTTTTTCAATTCTACTTTATCCATTATCTAAATATAGAATATCTTTAAATGCTAAATCTATTGTTTTAACCAATACAGAAGAGTAAAGATGATGAAAAAGAAACTGATAAAAATGGAGAACTCATGACAACCGCTGTAGATTCAGCTGACGTTTTAAATAATCAGAAACACGGTAATAAAGGCGATCAGACATCTGAGTCAGAAGATGATATATTGGGCTCATATGGAAATAACTTTTTATTTAGTTATGAGGAAGAGTCTGAAAGATTAGGATCATATTACAACATTGAAACAGACACATTTACTGAAACACCAAATAAACATTCAAAACACTTGAAGGACCATAAAGTAATGCAGCTAATTAAAGAAATGATGAGAGAAAATGGATACTCTAAGTTAAACGTTGAAGGGGCTCGAAATGGTGATAGAACACGGCAGCACTCTAGTGACAGACATTCGGAACACCACGACAGACCAAAACGGCACGCTGGCCCTCATGATTCTGGCGGGCTACAACGGTTGATAGCAACTGGTACACTTGCTCCTAGTCTGAGTCGTGATGATCATGGCATTGATTTGATCTTTCCAGTTTACTGGTTTTATCCATCACCGACAGAGGTATGGAATAAAGCATAAAAAGCGGTATCTTGTATTTATTCATATAATTAATTTGAAACATTTAGTTGTTAACTTGCTCAAAGATTTAGAAAATGTTGGTGCTATGAATTATGATCGAGTAGAGTGATTTGTTTTGTTCAACAGTTTGACAGATTTTGTACAGTGGCTTCTGAACATTATGTTAATTTGCATTAGACTAACATGTACATTCAAAGAAACAGTGCTGACTGCCAATACTCTTCAACATCAAATCAATATTTTTCTGTTCTTTCTTGCATGAAGTATTTGTATATGACAAGATCATTGTCTTTAGATATACTTTTCAATTCTCTAATGTGTGTTTTTTTCTACTTTTGCAAACCCAGACATGTTTTTAAACATTTAATCATGTCGACTATAATATGATAATAAATATATTGCTTACCCAATAACAACAGAATTTATCTCTGTTCTTTAGATTCTAACCGAAGATGAGCAGAAGTGTGTTGACCGTAAAATGGCAGCAGAGGGGGACAGAATGAATAGTAACAGTGAGTTTGAAAAAAAAAAAAAACTCAACAAAATAACATATATATTCACGTTTGAAAGCCATTTTATTTATAGAAGGTTCAACAGACACTATGTTTGTGTTACGGATCAAAGGTCAATTAAGATGTAAAATAACTTATTATTATTATTAAAATAACAGTCATAAGTCCGAAATGTAACACGATATTCCTTAGTGTACAGACAGAGTTTGCTTTAATTTCCATTTCGTTAGTTACTCAGATTAAACAATCATAGAGATAGATAGGGATTAATGCAGATTACGTTCTGCGGGGCAGTGATTTTATTTAAATAAACACGACGGTAAGAAGTATTTTGGGTGGTCAGGTTTAATGCTATTAAAACAATTTCATTTTAAATTCTTTCAGGTAAATATTTTGGAATGGATCACGATGCATATGACCAAGTAGTTGAAGAGGAGTGCAAAGGAAATAACACTGGTAAAGAGATACACACAATACAATTTAGAGCCTAAAATCCTTTTCGAAACAAACCTCATTAATTAAGATAGAAAATATCACAAGATTAGTTGACATGACTCTGAAATTGTTATGTTTCTTTATAACATTGGTTTTACACGTAAGCCCCTTTACGTTCACTATTATAATTAACACAATACGTTTTTCGCGCAGGTGAACTTACTCTTTCGCGCCATACTGTAAATAACTTTAAAAAAATTAACTTTCACCTTGCATTATGACTGCATGCCGACTTACGGCCTATTAATTGATGTGCATTTTCTAGAACATGTTGGCATAGACTAATGCCATTGATTAAATTGTTTATTAAAACGAATTAATTCCAACTTCACTTTCACAGCACTTTTTGGTCGCACGATTTTTTGTTTTGGAAATATGGAAGTTTAGGAAAAAATGTATTTTTTTCTCTATGTTAAATAAGTGCGCCTAATTGTTCACGACATTACATTATGGTTAAAGCATTCAGAACTTTACTTTTGAAGAATAGGCCCAATTGATTCCTCACCACACGAATGATGTTACACTGAGGCTGGGGGTCGAAGGACCGGACGCTCACTGTGCCAGACGGTCGTCGGTCGACGCAATTCTATGAGAAACTCAACGCCACGACGTGCGCGCAACGGATCGTATTTTGATAATGATCCATTCAGACTGCCACCGACAATCAGCAGACGGCGTCGCCTGACGCTCGGTTGCCATAGAATCAGGTTCAACTTTTTCGACAACTGTCTGCGACACTGTCGCAGACAGGATATTGTATTGAAACCGAGCTTGAGGCGCTTACAGGGAGCGGAGTTATTCGTCGTACGACGCGGGGAGTGCCCGGCTTCAATTTCTTAAATACTCAATGAACTATTTATTTTTTTCTTTTTTACTTATAGAGTCTATGAAAATAACTGAAAACATATTGCGGACAGACCCTCTTCAGATGTACCCGTTTAATCTGCACATGGGCGAGATGACAGTTTACAGATTACACTTATCATGCCAGTGCAATCAACCGCCATGCGCACGTATTCTTCCATTCAAACAGCAGGGTTGGCCAGCATATCTTGGAGCACGAGCAAACAGTATATATGTTCACAGGAAAAATACTACTAAAGAAAACTAATTTTATTAACTTCCTGTAATATTCCTGCGATTCTGTTACCCTATCAAACGTATGCAAAGAGGATGTTCTGGTGTACAACTTCGTAGGCACAATAATCAAATATGTTTGGTCAAGAAGGGACAACTAATTATTATTTGAAAATTAAGAACTAATTATTATAATTTTGATCAGGTTTTTTAAATTTGGTTTTCAATTTTTAAATTGTTGTACATCTTATAACTTTTGTAACGTATTTCATTTTTATGTTCTATTTTAGTTTTCTGTTTTCGTCTGTATTTTAATGTTTTGTGTATGCCAAGGAAATACAATTTCCACAACGTATTTTACATGTTGTTTGAACCAATAAAAATATCGTATTTATGTAACAGTCGAGTGCGGTGATGCTTGTTGCTGTAATACCTCCGAGGTTTGCTGTAACAAATTATAAGCAAGCTTACATTAAAATACAGTAAACAGGACAAATAAATTGGGCCTAGCATAGGCCATATATTATATACTACTTCTAGCCTGGGACTCCTCTTCATAGTCTACACTCATGTCAACAAACGATAAAATAATTCACGGGCCGAGTCCAAATAAGGGCGAACGTCCTGTATGATGAGTTTAAATGACGTGGAGGAATCGTCTTCAGCCTTGTGATCCTCCACTTTTGCAATATGATCGACTTATTGAATTATTATTATTATGATTGAATTATTATTTTAATTATTATTATATTAATACAAATATATATATTATTTATACCAATATATGTATATATATATATATATATATATATATATAGGCCTATATATATATACATTTATACTTAACACTGTTAAATTATATATAAATCATCAAAGAAAGGTAACAGTGTTCGCATAAAGGACATAATAATACATCGTGTAGCATAGTTCTCAACGAATGTGTCCTATAACGAATAAAGAAATTGTATAATAAAATTACTATGACGGGATTTTATTCTGATATTAGCCTGCATTTTTTCGTTCAAGTCCATCTATATTCAAATTTAGTTGTTTAATATCCACCAGTGTTCATAATATTATTGATTTATTTAAATGTTTATATTTATCATTTAAACGTATAAACGATCATATCGCTCTTTAAATTTATGTTAACCTATATTCATATTGGCCAGAGGCCATTGTGTAAAAAGAACAAATAAATGTTCTTGGTCTCTGTGTCACAAGGAACCAAAGTGTAGTCAGTTCTTTCCGGCTAGTTGCCTTACTAGGTGGTTTTGAAATAATATCAAACATATACATTCCGTCACACTCAGCCATTTGAAGACAAATGATTGTATAATAACGTATCAAGTCAACTGCACACCAAATTTACAAGATAACAAATTTAAGAAACGTGTTAGGGCTGAAACACAAGAATAATTTCTTTAGCACATTATCACATACACAGTACATCAGTCCTATACATTGTGACCCAGCGAGTACAAATAAAAATGGAATATGTAATATGTAAAAGTTCTTGAAACCCGCACCTCCGGGTATTTTTGGAGACAAACAATTTTAGAAACTTTAATTATAGAGGACCGAAATCAATTTGTCTGACTGCGCGTTCCATAGTGGTGCATAAGCCCATGAGGGCACTTTTTATAATGGCTGCTAAAATCTCAAGATATTTTGTGTAGAATAAGGTCACTTAAAGGTTAATTGATTGGATTTCTAATTAAGGTTGATGACAATAAAATATAATCACATTAGATTACACTTAATATGATGTGCCCTGAGTTAAAAATAGAGGGCACTTTTAAAAATTGCTACTAAATATCAAAACACATTTTTTCCATTAAAAACCCAAAAGGAAAGGGGGGGGGGGTCTGTGGGTCCTCCCCCGGAAATTTTTTTATTCCTAGATGGCGGGAATCGAGCTTTTTAGCCTTCTGAGATGCCTTTTAATAATTTCTTAAAAATTCAAGTTTTTTCCCCTCTTGAAAACGGTCAGGTAAACTTTCTTCTTTTTAATACAGTAAATAGGCCTATGTGTATACGTACATAAAAAAAAATGAGTTGCATACGTATTCTTATTCCATGAATCGATAAATCCCAAAGAGAAAGGGAGTCCGGGGTTCTCCCCCGGAAAAATTTTGATCCCTAGATGGCAGGAAATGAGCTTTCCCAACTTCTGAGGTGTCTTTTAATGACTTTTAAGTTCTTCAAATTTTAAGGTTTTCCCATTCTTGAAAAGGCTCAGGTAAAATTTCTCATCCTTATTACGGTAAATACTAGTAGACCTATTATGTGTGTGTATACAGTACATAAAAAAATTGAGTCGCTGCATACATAATATTCTTTATTCCAAGAATCGATGAACCTGAAATAGAAACGGGGGTCGGGGTCCTCCTCCGAGGAAATTTTGATTCCTAGATGGCGAGAAATTAGTTTTCCCGTCTTCTGAAGTGTATTTTAATGTTTTTCTTTTCCTCATTCCTATTACAGTAAATAGCTATATTAAGTGTGTACCGGTACACACAGAATTTTTTTCCAGGAAGTTGGGGGGGGGGGGGGTGGGGTGTCAGGAATAAATATAACTTCTGAAGTTGAACTAAAAATGTTACTAAAGACTTACCTTGTTCATAGCTTCATAGCGGTACCGTATTCCGAGTGTTTACAAATTGTATGACAGTGTAGAAGCGATTTGGCTCAGCGGGAACGGTTTGGTTTCCCAAACTCGAGGTCTGGGTTTCAATCCCTCGCTGTGCATTTCGCTTGTGTCCTTGAGCAAGACACTTTGCTTCTCTCAACCCAGGAGTATAAATGGGTACATAAATGGGTACCTGGTGGGGTTGCCTGCTCCTGCGCTGATTACCAGCAGCAACACTTAGCAAGTGGACCCAATGACCAGGGAAAGGGACTGCTGATTGCCAGCAGCAACACTTAGCAAGTGGACCAAATGACCAGGGAAATGAACTGCGCTTTATAACCGCAAGGAAGAGGCGCATTATAAATGCCCGTACCAGTACCAGTACCAGTACCAGTGTTACGCTAGCTAATGTACGTTTATAAAATAGCTTTTCGACACCTCACTTCCACTCCTCCCCTCAAGCTTAATCCGCCACTATTGCGCATATTATTTATCTAATAAACAATTTCAAACAATAGAAATTTGTGTTTTTAAAATAGTCCAACTGCAGTGCGTAACATCTCCCTAACTAAGCCTAGTATTTTCTCTGTGCGTCTATGCTAGACTAACTTCTAGGTGGCTACACCTATTGTCAGAATGGCAATACGCGACTAATTTGAATAATACAAGGTGTAAGACTATATCACTATTGCTATAAAATCATTGAAATAATAGCAAGTTTTGATATACTTTATGGCTGACTGGGTTACGGCCTAGGCCTAGCTAGCTAGCAACGCCTTGTCACACGTCAACTGGCGGTTCTATCTTATTCACGGTACAAAGACTATGACATTGAGTATTTGACATCATCGACGTCGCATAGCTCTGTACTAATTATTAGCTCATTCTGTAATGAGATAAATTGTGAGGGTCGTGTATTGGAGACTATCTTTTCAACATTAAAGATAGGCTTTAAAGTATTAGGAATGACTTTCTTAATACCTTTTCTATGGAACGCAAACTAGATCAGCTATAATGTAAAATATGCGTAATACTCAACAGGGAGAGCATAAAAACATACCTTTGAAATGTTGAGGGTATTAGAATAATACCTTAATACCCTTTCCGCCACGCAACTGGTTAATGCATTGCCATCCAAAAGCTCCAAATTGGCTAAAATTTGCTTAACTATACCCTTCCGTTGTTGTAAATACATAAAGTGATGATTATTTTCTTTCTTTTTTAAAGTTAAAATATCTCAGAAATTACTGAATAAATTGTAAAATTAATAAACTTTGAAAGGATTAAAAGAAAAAAAAATCAAAAAAAAAATCCCGGTAGTCATTTTGATAGAATTCTGTTACCTACTTAATAATAACTTGACATAGTCTTGCTTATAATTACATACCATCAATATCAATCCAAAAACAAGTAAGTTTCACCTCTTAAAGTGACTATTTTAACCCTATTTTATGTCAATTGTAACTGCACAGAGTTCTTTACTTAAGCTTGTCATTAAGACCCTGATGCTCTATCACCAATCCTGCAGTACGTTGGGCTAACACACTTAATAAAGTAGCTCATTGTGAAAACTAGCATTCTCATCCCAATGCCTTTGGTTGTTGAATCTTGGCAAAATACACTTGGGTTTTCATTTCTGCACAAAATTAGTAATCAGCTCTGCTGGAAAGGACACCACATTACCCTCCTTCGTGAGGACCGCGCTCCGCTTATTAATGAGGATGCGTTAAACCAAAGTTTATTGATTAATTGTAGAACTTTTTTTTAAACATTCATCTCATTAGTAAATTTTCAAGCAACGGTTCAATAATTTCAGAAAAAAAACTAAAAAAAAAACTTACCAAAGCTGCGCAAAGTACAATGTTTTCATTAGAAATTGGTAACCCCATGTATTGGTTCACGAATATCATCATTGGACCAATAAAAGCGGTATCAACAAAATCTACAGGACTTTTCGACATTTGTGCCACCTATCAAAAAATTTGAAACTCGCATTAACTAAATTGTTAACCAACACGGATTATTTTTAATCTAATTATAAGAAACCCCTAAAATTCATATTTCAATAATAATTACAATAAGAACAATAACTCCAACTTACAATCAGTTTGTTAGTTATTTTTGCAGAAACCATGCCAAACGTAAGAATGAATAAACAACAGTTATTTTGAAATAATTGTGTTGGTGAACTCTGTATAACCACTGTAGCAAGAACCAGAAAAACAACAAGAAGAACAACAGGGGATATTACACTTGTGCTCTGAAACAAAACAAGTAATTTTTTTGAATACAATGTATAACAACAAATTATTCAATGCATTCGTATCATATAAGGTCAGTAAATCCATGATATTCTTTTTCCTGCGTTACTTAGGCCTACATTTTGTAATTATTTTGATAATAATGACAAAGAAATTAATACTGTGCTGGTAATGATGATCGTGATTTAGAAAAAAAAATATTATCAACCTAATCAAGACCCGAAAGAAACTTTTAGGTAATATATTACTATATTTTGTATGCCATGAATTGCTAGCACATAGGGCTGAAACATCCTGAGTCATTTCACAGCCTGTTTACAATGTAGCTTGGGGTACCTAAAGATGGCTGGCACCAGCCGAGATTATTCAGCGTTTGGTGTTAATAAACAGAATGGAAATCGCTGACACAAACCGCCTTTCTTGTGATCATTACCAAGATCACCATGCAGATGTCAATGACATTGATGATAACGACGACAGTCACGATGATATGATTATGATGATGAAAATGATACTATACTGATAAAGGTAAAATGGTAATGGGAATGAATCTGTTGTTCCCAGCTTCACTGGCACTCACCAGAAAAAAAGAACTAGTTGATAGATAACATGTTTAACTTTCATTCAGTAACGAAAACTAAGATTTGGATAATTTAAATATTTTTTATTAAAGCATGTTGATATAAAATATTAAAAACAAATGATTTTTTTTAATCACAATATTTACAATATTTGGCATGCATGGCATAACAATATACAAACCACTCACGGCTACCGTTTATTCTCCACTAAAGATGATTTTGAATGATCTATGTAGAGCAACCAAGGACACAATTGTAGAAACTATTAGCAGACAGAGTTTATTCTATATCCATATATCTGAAATACAAAACAAAATTACGAACAAAATTGAACGTTAATGCACTAAATCCTGGTGCGTATGAAATCAAACACCCGTTTTATCATGTCAAATAATTACAGTTTAAAATCTTTCAAATTTTGAGGTTTTTACGTGTTACGTGTCCAGAAACACTCGGCCGATTGATTAACAGATCTTTGTTGTGATTGATTAATAGATCTTTTTGTATGGGCGGCCGTTAGGGCTAAATATCCTCTACTACCTTTATTATACTGCCATAATCAGAGCTTTCGTGATTACGAAAACTTGTTTATTTCAAAAGACACGCTAGGATTTAATAAGGTGTATGGAATAGTGAGGAGCTCTATAAACACTTGGCTGATTGATTAATAGGTCTTGATTGTGATTGATTAATAAATGTGTTTGTATGGGTGGCTGTTAGGGCCAAATATACTCTACTGCCTCCATTATACTCTCCTCTTCTGAGCTTTCGAGATTACAAGAACTCGTTTATTTGAATAGACACGCTAGGATTTAAAAAGGTGTATGGAAGAGGCATCTCTTGCTTTTGATGAATGAGTTCCAAAGGGTTGGAAGATGTGAAAAAAGCTTTAAAAAGGAGGAAAGGATGATCTTACTTCATAGGACCATATTCCTGGACCTATTAAAGCAGTAATAAACTGGGTAACTGCAATGGCTCCTTGTGATTCAGCCGCATCAAACCTAATCAGAAGAAGAGATATAATATGTTGAAATTTAAATTTTAAAAAGCACTGTAGCATTTTGATAGGCCTCTTTTTATATCATAATGAAGTTATCCTATTTTTGTTTCTAATTAGCATCTAAGAACAGGTTTGAGTAAGCCTTAAAAAAATGTAATTTAGTCGGTATTGAAAGAAGAACATTTATTTTTTTCTTACAATTTATAAATCTTTGCACCGCATTGCTTTATAGAGTTTTATTTAAACAGTATATATATATATATATATATATATATATATATATATATATATATAATGGAATTCCCCCATGGGGCTTGAGTGTGTGCTGTCTCTTATACACATCTAGATGTGTATAAGAGACAGTCGAATATATTTTAGGCAAAGGTGGTCGAGGACGATGTGTCAGTTTTGAAATCTTGAAAAGAAATTTAAAATTTAGCGTTTCTAAACATTTCCCCGCATGACCTGAGTGCCACTGTAGGCATACATACCCACATAGAAAGGAGTCCTTTAACGGCACATTTAGAAAGCTATGTACACGAGAAAAAATTGAATAAAGAAGAACACAGCTCCTCTAGCTAGGGATGGTAAGCGGTAACAGGGCATTAGCGAACTTTAAAGCCAAGCTTCGGAGAAAACAATTTTTTGATACGTTTGATTTCTCTAAGACACGAAAAGGGTATTTGACGAAAAACTCGGAAGCGGTTAATACAGATTTTTGAATAACTGGGAGGGGGGGGGGGGGGTTGGGAGCTTGAAAAAATGGTGGTTAGGCCCCTTTTCCCTCAGTTTTTAAACATGCAAAATCTGTATCTCATCAACCGCTTCCGAGTTTTTTCGTGAAATGTGTTTTTCATGTCATAGAAAAATCAGTTTTACAACATATGTAGGCCCCCTACAATGAGAAAAAAAATTCCTCTGGAGCCTGGCTTTAAATATTGTGTTTGGCCCTGGAAAGAAGGCGTAGTGTATGAGCAACTCTAGGCCTACTAAACATAGATTGAGCTTGCCTCTTCGGCGATACTCATGGTCTATTGCAGCCAAAGACTATTGTACAACAATTTGTACAACGGTCACTTGCATCAGCAGTTATTAAACCTTTGCAGAAATTAAAGTAATCTTGATTGCAACATTTTGTCCATTACGGAATGTAATAATTAGCAAGCTATAAAATATCATACATTAAGAATTCTATAAATAGCAAAATATGTTACACATTAACAAGAGTAAATTCACAAATATGATAAAATGAAAATGGCAAAATAGTTATGTACACGAACGGGTTTTTGTTCATTGTGACAATGTTCTTTGCAAACGGATTCGATCACTGAACAAGGGCTGTTCGTGTAAACGGTTTCAATCAGTGTGCGTGTTAACTTCAAACTACATTTTGTGCATGAGTAAAATAGCCTAAGCTGTACTTTTTACATTTTAGTTAAAATCACAAAAATAAAAAAACAAAAGGCCGGAAGGTAACGGGCTTAGGATTCGGCCTACACAAGGCCTGGTGGCAAAATGCCGGTTGACAAAATGACCGGGTTGCAAAAGGTAGGATGGGAAAAGACCAGTGGTGTATCTAGAAGTCTTGAAATGGGGAACTGATGTGGGGTGCGAAGGTGAAGTTGGTGGGTTCGATGATCAGTTGATTGGCATGATAAAGTTGAGGGGCGCTAATTTGCAAAATAAGTTGATTTTAGGTGATTTTTAACTACTTGACCGTGATTTTTTGGGTGGACTTGGGCGTGGGGGGGGGGGAGGCGCGAGTAATTTCGCCCCCACCCCCACCACACCGCCCCCGTAGATACGCCACTGGATAAAACCGGGTAGGAAAAGGATAGGTGGAAAAAGGCGATGGGCCTAGACCCATCTTATCTTTTTGATAATCTTATCTTTTTGACATTTATTGATAATCATCAAACCAATCATTTGAACTTAATTATTTTTTCTTCTTCTCTGTTATTGTTAAGCGCGTCGAGGTTGTGTCAACGTGAGGCGCTATATAAATCCAGAATTATTATTTATTATTATTATTATATTTTTTTTTCGTGTTTCGTGTATTTAAAAGATTTTATTGAAATAAAATGGTTTGATTGATCAAAATAGATTGATTGATATGGATTGATTGACTGACTGATTGTTTGATGTATAAGTTGTATAATTTAATAATAATAATTGACTGATGGATCCTCCTGTCTGTCGGTCGGTCGATTGATATAATGCATACCTGCAGAAATTGCATCACAGCCATGATCGAAGTATTCATCGAGTAGGCCATCAGTTTTGGTTAGCCTTGCTTGCTTCCCGTCCAAGATGTCCAGAGTTTGGTACAAGGAAAGACAAATACCACAACAGAAACTGATAGGAAGATGCACTCAGTGCTTTAAAATGCACATGATGATATACCGTACTAGGCCAACGGTTTATAGTCGGTATCCGAGGAGACACTTTTCACCACCAACAATCATAAGCGAGCGTACAGCTGTAATCAGCGCCGATATACGGTAGCTATACTGTTAGTCGTCGCCAATTAATAAAATATCAAAGGCGCAAAGTAAATAATAAGATTAAAAAACATTAGTAAATAAAAAAGTTTAGAGATTCTTTGACAGAATTAATGGGTACTCAATTCCAAATAACAAAACAAAACAAAGCAAAAAAAATATAGTCGGTATCCGAGGGGACACTTTTCACCACCAGCAACCATAGGCGAGCGTACAGCTGTAATCAGCGCCGATATACGGTAGCTATACTGTTAGTCGTCGCCAATTAATAAAATATCAAAGGCGCAAAGTAGATAATAAGATTAAAAAACATTAGTAATTTAAATTGGCTCTTTGTTGATATACTGTGTTCAGCAATTTAAATGCATGAATGTTAATTCGTTGACGATTTCATTATGTTTTATTGTATTTGTTTCTATCTGCATTTTATGAGAAAATTTCAGCATTTCATTTTTATATACTCTCAAAGTATTGTATTCTCATTGTATCATTATTAATAGATCTACCTGGAAATTGAATAAAATAAATAAAAATAAAATACCACAATTTTGAGTCAATTCTGTAATTAATTCTGTAATTTAGATGCATAAGCAGAGCAATATATAAAACACTTTAACATGCCTAAATTGTTTGAGAAATCTTAACATAGAAACTATATCTTTTGGAACATTGGCAAACAATTTTAGCAGTATTCTCAAGTTCAATTTCCAATCAATTTTGATTAGTTTGAATTGAATTGATTCATTAATCATGTGACTGTGCAAGTCGCTTGTGTCCTTGGGCAAAGCACTTTATCTACGGTTGTCTCTCTCCACCCAGGAGTACAAGTGGGTACCTGGTAGGTTCAAACACAGCCTGCGCTGAATACAGTGTGTATAAGAGACAG